TGTCACTTCGAGGGGTAAAAAGTATAACTATTGCACTGTGTTGTACAGCTGAAACTAATTTTAAAAATGTGTATTTCATAATAAAAAAATATATAAATAAAAAAGTTAATACATTTTTAATTTTTGAAATTCTAAAACTGATCTAATTTTATTTGTTAAATTTATATATATATGTTATTAACTGTTCAGTCTTTCGTTTCTATTACAAACTCAGATAACGGGTACTTGAAGAAACATTTCATTTTTGTTTTTAGAAACTATAAAATATGGGAGCCATGGTATAAAGTGAAACTTACCTTGTTTCTCTATAACAGAGTATGAGGCCAAAAATCCTCGTCCAGAAACATGGATGCCACTCATGAATAGTACTGTAATTTCATTGCTTTTTGATTCAATTGAATGGTTCATTTGCAACCCCAGACCACAGTATTTGCCTAGAAATGAAACAAAAGCAGATATTTGTGGTGACTCTCATGAAGTTAGTAGTATTTACAATGTAGATAACAAAATCAGAATAATATACCAAACTGGGTATTAAATAGTATAAAATGATAGACTGTTTAGTGATTAAAAATCACATTACTCCATAGGGGGTAAAAAAAACAAGTAATAACTGTTCAAATGATTCAAAAGAAAAAATAGTACTAGCATCAGTGACCTTATGAAGATTCAATTTCCTGTGAAATACATGTATATTCTTTAAAATAATATAAGGAGGAATTTTTTAAAAATTAAAAGTATTTCATGCAGGCAGGTAGCTCACAAATAAATATAGTAATATTCTTAACATGCTCCCCACAGGGTGCCTCTAGATTCCTGGTCTCAGGGAACATCTCACACCTTTTTCAAACCTTCTCAATATTTCTTCCAAGGATTACTGGACTTCTGGTCAATCCCTTTAGATGATCATTTATAGTGAAATTAAAAAATTAAACTCAATTCAGTATAACTTCTCATTTAGCATTTAATAAATAAATACCAAACATTAAGATACACACACTTGTCTTAGGTGCTATGGTGTTCAATATAACATACATGTTTTGCTCATCCTTTCTTTAGAAACACCTACTGTGCAAAAAAAAGCTTTCAATTTCTAAATATGGACTGCAATTTAACATAACTATCAATATTTTTAACATTCAAGTAAAATAACACATTATCAAAGAACCCTACAATAGTCATCTGAATATATAAGAAGAAAAGATGATTAAATCTTCAGACTTGTTTTTAATACCAAGTAACTCAGAAATAGTCTGGTAAATAGGACAAATATTAAACCCTGTATTACTTTTGAGTACAAAGTATTTAAAATTAATGACTCAATATTAAAAACAGTAATATATATTTCGTTATTCCAAATATTATCTGAAATATTAACAGTATCAAATGCTGTATAATTTGTTAGCAAATCCAAATACGTGCAGAGCCAGAGCCCATCACATTAAATCTTATGGCCCAATGGGAATAGGTAAACTAAGAGAAATTTTATCCACTAGAATCTTAACATAAGTCAGTTAACTCCTGCGAAAGTGAACAACAGTTTCATCCGGGCTCATCAGCACTAGCTGTTCTTAGCCATTTAATGATCTATGTATGTCTTTATACAAGGCTGATTAAGGTGTTCCGTACAAATGCTGACTTTTCGAATACTTTTAGTACAAACGAAAAAGATCATATTTAAAGAATACCTATCATGCTATGCAAAGATGTCTTTATAAAAAAAAATTACTGAAGTGAAACAATGTTTAAAAAACCTTTTTTAACTCTTTTAATATAGAAAGAACCATAAAAATATTTTCTATTAGCACGGCAGTTTCACCTTTTGTTTATTTGGAGTTATCTTTTTCTCCAAACTGAGTAAATTCAATCTGTGGTAGAAACAAAACATTTTTTTAAACCATACTTGTTCTATGAAACTGAAAAGGCAGTGCTAACGAATGGATAATCTCAATTTAAAAAACAGAAGAAAAAAAATAAAAGTACAATAAATAGCTAACATTGTAGGTGCTTAAGTGAGTTCAAAATATACCATACAAACACCTGTTTTCACCTGCTATTCTCAGCCAAGATGACGTTCCCTCTCCTCACTGGGTTCCTTCTGATCACAGATTTTACCCATTATACAAGTAATGCAAGCACTTGGCAAAATACTCGGGGAAGGGAAGAAGAAAAATCATTCCTCATCTGAGCAATATACTCATTAACTCTTTAATTCCATTTCTCCAGTTTGCCCATTCAGAGGTACTCCTAAATCAACATAAAACATTTAATTGCCAACAATTACAGGCTCTGCTGATGGCTCTCAAAGTCAGCCAAAATCTCTAGTTTCCCATGAATAAATAAGAGAGGAATTTCAAAAAGCAGTATGTTTCAAAAAACATAGAAAATTACAATTATAAAAGTTAAGTATTAATCACCATAACACTCATGAAATACTTTATATAGTCTAAAAGAATCCAATGCTCCAGGGAAATAAAAATGTTTAAAAATTATTAGCCCTTAGGAAAACTAAGAAAAGAAATGTAAACTAAAGCCAAGGCAAGTAGAAGAAAACAAATAACAATTACAGCAGTAATCAATGAAATTGAAAACAGGAAATCAATAGAGAAAATTAATGAAACCAAAAGCTGGTTCTTTGAAAAGAAAGTTGATAAGCCTCTATCGAGGCTAAATAAGAAAAAGAGAGGACACAAATCACTAATATCAGAAATGAAAGTGGGGACACATCACTACAGATCCCATGGACATTAAACGGATAATAATGGTATACCATGAACAACTCTACGTCCACAAATTTGAATCTAAATGAAATGGACAGGTTCACTGAAATTTGCCAAAATTCAAACAAGAAGAAATAGACAATCTGAATAGGTCTATATCTATTTAAGAAATTGAATCAATAGTTAATAATACTTCAAAAGAAACAACACCAGGCACAGACGGGTTCATCGATAAATTCTACCAATATTTAAGGAAGAAATTACACCAATTCTCTACAATCTCTTTCAGAGGACAGAAGCAGAGAGATTCCTTACTAACTTATCCTATGAGACCAGCATTACCCTAACACCAAAGCCAAAGACATTATAAGAAAACTACATACCAATATTTCTCATGCAAATAGATAAAAAAATTCTTAACAAAGTATTAGCAAATCGAACCCAACAATGTGTAAAAATTATACATTATGTTCAAGTGTAATTCATCCTATGTATGTAAGGTTGGTTCAACACTTGAAAATCAATTAATGTAATCCATCACATTAACAGTCTAAGAAAGAAAAATCACATGATCATATAGAGCAGAAAAAGCATTTGACAAAACCAATGCCCCTTCGTAATAAAAACTCTCAGTAAACTAGGAATAAAGGGGAACTTCCTCAACTTGATGAAGAATATTTACAAAAAACCTACAGCTAACATCATACCTAACAGTGAGAAATTCAAAGCTTTCCCACTAAAATCAGGAACAAGGCCAAGAAAGTCCCCTCTCAACATTCTTTGTAACATTACTGGAAGTACTAGCCAACACATAAGACCAAAAAAAGAAAAAAAATGGATTGGGAAGAAAGAAATAAAACTGTTCACAGATGATCATTTATGAAAACCTAAAAGAATTGACAAAAACACTCTTATAAGTAATAAGTGATTATAGCAAGGTTGAAGAATACAAGGTTAATATACAAAAGTCAACTGCTTTCCTATATATCAACAATGAGTAAGTGAAATTTGAAAAAACATTTTTTTTAAAGATTTCTTTATTGGGGAATTGGGGGAAAGGAACAGTATTGGGGAATCCAGGAAGGGGAACAGACAAGGTGTTGTCCTAGTTGTGGGTGATGTAGCTTCACTGGCCCACGTTGGTATTATCATTGGGCTCTTCCCAGGTAAGGCAGGTCAGTCGCCGGCCAATGGATGGCCACTCAAAGTGGCTCTTGGCAGCTCATGCTGGCTACCAGTTGCTCACGCCGGCTGCCAGCCATCACGGTAGCTTATGGCAGCCCATTGCAGCTTCACTGCAGCCTACGCCATCGCGGGCGACTCACAGAAGCCCAGCTCCAGGTCAAGCTGTTGTTCATCATCTTAGCTGTAGAGGGCGCAGCGTCACTGGCCCTCATGTGGGATCTGAACCGGAGGACTGCTGCTAAGAGCTGGCGTCCCAAGCCAAGTCTTAACCAACGCGCCACTCGGCTGGCCCTGAAATTTGAAATTTAAAACACAATACCATTTACATTAGCATCCCCCCAAATAAAATAATTAGGTATAAATCTAACAAAATATGCATAAGATCTATATGAGGAAAACTACAAAACTCTAAAGAACAAAATCAAAGGAGGACTAAGTAAATGCAGAGATGTTCCATGTTCATGGATAGGAAGATTAAATATTGTCACGATGTCAGTTTTTCCCAATTTGATTATATAGATTCATACAATCTAAATCAAAACCTCAGTAAGGTATTTTGCAGATATTGACAAACTTCAAGTTTATACAGAGTAAAAGACCCAGAAGAGCCAACGCAATATTAAAGAACAAAGTTAGAGGACTGATACTACCTATCTTCAAAACTTACTACAAAGGTACAATAATCAAGACAGTGTGGTATTGGTGAAAGAACTGACAAATAAATCAACAGAACAGAACAGATAGCCCAGAAATAGATCGAGATAAATACAATTAACTGATCTTTCACAAGGGAGCAGAGGCAATACAATGGAGCACAGATAGTCTTTTCAACAAATGGTGTTGGAACGATGGGACATCCACATACAAAAAAAGTTAATCTAGATATACTTTACACCTTTCACAAAAAACGAACACAAAATGGATCACAGATTTAAAGGTAAAATGAAAAACTATGAAACTTCTGAAAGATAACATAAGAGAAAATCTGGATGCCTTGGGTATGATTATGACTTTTTAGATACAACACCAAAGGCGCGATCCATGAAAGAAAGAATTGATAAGCTGGACTTCACTAAAATTAAGTTTTCTGCTCTGCAAAAGATAATGTCAAGTGAATAACACAAGCCACAGACTGGGAAAAAATACTTGCAAAAGACACATCTATCTGATAAAGCACTCTAATCCAAACTATACAAAGAACTCTTAAAACGCCACAATAAGAAAACAAACTGTGGGCCGGCCGAGTGGCGTGATGGTTAAGAGCTGGCTTGGGACGCCAGAGGGCCCCAGTTGGGATCCCACATATGAGGGCCAGTGACACTGCCCTCCACAGCTAAGATGTTGAACAACAGCTCAACCTGGAGCTGGGCTGCCATGAGTCACCGGCGNCATAAAAGACCCCGAATAGCCACAGCAATCTTGAGAAATAAGAACAAAGTGGGAGGTATCACACCACCCGACATCAAATCATACTACAAGGCTACAGTAAATCAAAACGGTATGGTACTGGCATAAAAACAGACACACAG